AATTATACTGCTGCACCCCCGCACATATATGTATATGTATACACCAACTTTTTTATCATATTTTATTCCCCTCCCTCTCCGTATACTCGGGTGGAGCTTGCGCGAGCAATGAGTAACAACTTATACAATACGTTGGGAGGGGTGCAAGGTGTACCCTCTTCCCTCCTCTCTGTAAAAAGAGAAAAGGCAAAAATGGTAGGAGGAAGAGAAGGGACCCCTTCAAACGAAGCCCTACGTGTTTTTTGCCCCTCCTGCTCTGGCGCCGGCTGCAAAAATCGTCGCCGTGGTCTACTCTCATGGTTCGCTAAAAAATTTCAAAGCGCAGGAAGCTGCCTGATGACACAGAGGTGTATATATATATATATATATATATGTATACCCAGTGCCCACGTCGATTGGCTTGCTCGTTATAATGTTGTGCCGCGCGGGGGTACAAGTATATGTATATACACGCACATACGTATATACGACTCTTGGTGCACTTTTATCTTTTTTTTTGCTCTTTCTTTCATGCCCGATGATGATGCTCGCTCGTCGCTATTTATACACGGGAGCTGGGCCGTACCTCTAACGCGCGGGTAATTGATGGACGCTGTGTACACGTAATTGCCGTTCCTCGTATAAACATATATAGCTATACAGTCTCAAGAAAACTCGAGTACATAATTATTAGCTCATTTTATTGAAGATCGGTTAAAGTGTAATATACATATACCTATATAGAATTGATGTCCACAATCGTCCGTGTCCATCTCCAGCTGAAGCATGAAATTAGTACTTGGAGTCTCAAAAAAAAAAAAAAAAAAAAAAAATTAAATTTCAATTTTCTCCGTGACGCGGTTGAAGGAAAAAAGGTTTCGTACATGGCATCTAGGGACCAAATGAGAATATCGTTCGAGGAACGTCGGTTGCCGAGGTAATGCACGCAGCCGCTTGAAAAATGAAAATGAGGCTCTCTTGGACGTCTCGTCGGCTAGACGAGCCAACGGAGGCTGGACCTCATCAAGGCGACGGCGACAAGTAGGTACATTAGGACGAATCAATCGCTTATACGTGTATATATATATATATACCAACTCCCTCTGCGCGTATTCCTTAACGAGTTTTTGTTCAAGTTCGGCGTGACCTTCGGCACACTTTGAGCAGCAGCTGTCACTCTAATCTCTCTCTCACTGGAGTAGTGCCACACATACAATGTACAATCCGTCAAGTATATGAGCGGACCAGCGTATGGGCATGCCACCGTGCGCTCTCCCACGCTTCGTATCTCATCATCGTCATTATCATCAACAACTCGATACTCGATGCGTGGGTCTTTACGTTTAACGATTTTCTGATCGTCCCTTTCTACTGTATGGGAGTGCGTGTCTGTGTATTTGTGTTACTGCAACCAGGGAAATTCAGTACTTTTTTCGTCCCCCTTCGAGACGTCACTTGCATCTCGATCCCCTCTGACGCTGAGCCACCCGCTGCATACATACACACATATAAGCACGTACCGGACTTTACTTGTTTTTTTTTTTTTTTTTTAATTTTTTTTCTCTCGAGGACGGAAAAGTAAGTATGGGTTTCAGAAGAAATATTTTGCTTCTCGAGTTACTAGGTGTATACAAGGGACGCAGGGACAGTGTAGTCTTGGGCGGGCGACAATCGGCTGGACAGATGAACGCCTCGTTGTCGCGCTCGGCTATGGATTTTCCAAAACTTTCCATTTTTTCCGCACTTTTGGATAATTTTACAAAAGTCATCCTATATATACGGTGCATTTTTTTTTTCTTCCAACAACAGAGTGTGAGATGCAATGACCGTGATATACGGAGGGTCGGAAAAATCCACAACTGCAGACGCATCTCGGGGGGGCAGGTGCAAGAGGAGGAGAGAGAGAGGAGGGGGCCAGGGCGCTAATGGAAAAAACAAAGAACTCCACCTCTTTCCCATCCCACCACTCGTGGGCAAGCGCAAGGAGTCGAGGATCGGTGTACTGCAGAGGGATCATTCGATTTTTTTTTTTTTTTTCCCGATGCAGTCCCTTGCATGTAAGTATACACGCGACAGCTGGAAGGCGCGCACGAGAGAGAGGGAGCGATCGATGAAAGAGGCGGGTATATATTTATGCGAGGGGGCCATACATGCAATATCTTTTTCACTTAGGATGTATCCTACGCGATGTTCGGCCCAACCTCCTATATGCGCATATACTTATAATAATGTTCCTCTTGACACCTTATTTATGTTTTTCTTTTATTTTCGGCAATCAACTTGTCCATATATATATACGGTTTTTAAGCTCAGCCCTGAATCGAACAACTTTGGAGATATTCGAAAGAGGACAAGTTTTCGCGGAGCTCATCGCTCGGGTGGAGGTAAAAACTACTCGTTCAGCAAAAACCATTTATATTACAACGAGTGGAATATATATAAATATACATATATGTCTGTATGGTGTCGTTAAAAGGCATCGAGGGGGGAAAAAAGGGCGCAAGGCGCGATCAAAGAATAAAAGGAAGCAAATGAGGGAATTACATGGAAGAGCAGTCATTGAAGCAAACGCGCTTCTTAGATTTCGGGCCGGATGTGTATACGTTGCCTGGACCAAAAAACAAATCCAACCTCGATATATATATATATATGGCAGGAATGAACGAACGCGTTGGGAAGCGAGTTAATGAATGTCGTATATAGTTTTTAAATCCGTGTGCGCGCACAGTGTATATAGCTATAGGCTTTGTAAGTATAGGTATATGTTGTTTAACTCTATCTAAAATTTGATAAATTTGAAGTACCCTATATGTATATATATATTGGGCGCCAAGTAAATAAAGTTACGTTTAGATCGGCAACTCTAATCCATCGGTGTGATCGGTGTGATCGGTGGCGAAAGGGGCAGGAGGTTTCTTCTCTCTCCTTGATTCCCTGCGTATAATATATACCCTATATAAAATGCTTACTTACATACATACGCGGCGACGACAGCTAACTACCTTATACCTATATACCGGCAGATGTGACTCGAGGAAAAAGGGAGCCTCAGCATATATGAAATCCGGTTCACACGACGCTATGCAGAAGAGAGGGAGAGAAGAGAAAACTTTGTCTTCTTCTTCTTCTTCTCGTCGTTTCTTTTTCTTCCTGCAAAATGAGCTAGAGAAACGCACTGCTGACTACTTATATCTCACCCTTTGAAATTTTACAACAGCCAATTGAACATTCTGTAAACTATACTAAAACAACTTTAACTTTTTTTTTTGTTTTTTTTTTTTTTCCATAAAACACCCGTACTCTAAATTGGAAATATACTAAGGAGAAAAGACACATCGTCGGTAGGTCCATTTTTTTTTATCCTTCAGCGGACGCTAAACCACCGTGACCCGCATTCGCGGAAAAAAGAGCTTCCCTTGGTTCTCCTCCCGCGCGCGCACACACAACCTTGTGATGCTCTCTCTCTTATGAAAAAATATTAACATAAGTATAACAATGAGCACTACTCATTTGGACCATAGGCCTAAAAACCGAAGCGAAAGCAAGATCAAAACGCAAAAGTAGGCACCAGCTCTCGTCTTTCCTTGTAATCGCAAGGAGAAGCGTCGAGAGGACAATTTTACAAGTAAGCGGCAACAAGCTTCTGACACCCATCACAGGATCGGGAAAGCTAGCTCTCTTCTTTCGTTGGCTCTCAACGGCCCACTTACGCCAGTACATAATACTAGTCAGCTGTGGTATTTATAAAATTTGCTTGGACTGTCTATATATAATACGTACCACATGCACTAGTGTTGTTTTCCTTATTTGAAATTTTATGCTCCAAGTTCGCCCATCAGCTGTTATAATTATTTGTTTATCCTGAAATTTTTTATCACCAAGTACGTATGACTTTGAACTTTAATTTTTTTTTTTTTTTTTTTTTTTTTTTTTTTTTTTTTT